ACTTTTGATTCAGTCCATAAACATACTGGGTCCAGTCATGATTGATACCATTAGATATTGACAAGACTAAGGCCCCTTCCACACAGCTGAATAAAATCCCACATTATCTGCTTTGAACTGGAATTTAGGGCAGTGTGGATTCAGATATCCCAGTTAAAAGTGGATATTGTAGGATTTTCTGCCTTGATATTCTGGGTTATATGGCTGTATGGAAGGGCCCTAGGAGAAGGAGTTATCTAGAAGAGTTAAGATGTGGGGAAGCTCATTCAGAAAAAAATAAACTACTAAGACCAATTGGGTCACCCTCATTCTATCCAGTTCCCAATGTAATTAATCTACAAGGGTACCAAAACACTTTTTCTATGAGGAACCCAGGATCCACTAGCAGGTCTATTGCCAGATTAGGCATCCTTTCCATCAGTGAACCATTTTTGAAGACACAACACTATACAACACCTTAACAATATTGAGCCATTCTAGTTGGGTTAGGAAACACCATAACTAAACTGAGTTGCTCTCATATCTGTGACACAGAATAATTCTGTAGCTACTTCATCCATCCATACAAACCCAAAAGAGAAGGGCTTCCAAGCATCTAGCAATAGTAGTTCAAAAAGGCTCTTTTTAAAAATTGTCCAAACATATTTTAAATGGTCCACACATTTATAACATGAATCCAAGGTCAAACAAACATTAATTCACTAGCATGCTCAATAAACATTTTGTAGAGAATTTTGGTCCATTCCCAAGAACAGTTTCATCTCTAGAATAGGTTCAGTGTTTAAAACCTACTACCTTCTACTTCTAAAATCTTCTTAGACTCAAGCCTCCTAGGAGAAAAAGCAGTTTTTTATATACTCACACATTCTCACTTAAGCTGAGTACTAATTAGCAGTAACCGTTTTAGACACTCACTTTTCTTTTGACTACGTTACACAAGTATTTGTATGTTTAAACGATGGTGATAAGATGTTATTATCAAAGAGTTCAATATCTTACACCAAATTCTCAGAAGCTCAGAATCTGATAGACTTGATTTACCTCTGAATCACAGTGATGTAAACATTGTTTGGAAGTTTCACCAGCAGAAGGAAAAGAAAAACCAAATTAAATGTTACCAAGTCACAGTCATTGCTTGAAGTATTTGTAACCATTTCTGTATTGGACAGACCCTGATCTCAATATCTATACCCTCTCCCACAGCCTGAACCTAGGCCACCTTTCACTTGTCCTTGCTTTATTTATGCCATGAGGCCACTTTAAACCTGGATGTTCTTTCTTCAGCATTAAAACATGTTTCTTGTTCTACTGGTTTCTCATCCAAGCATGAAACTACTGTTTCAGAAGATTTTGTTTTCAAAGGGATGATTCTATATATCTAACCATGCAAAGCCCTACTCTAAAAGGCTAGCTCAGTCAAAACAACAATCTCAGAATAAGACTTAAAACAGTACCAATTTACCACTTGTCTGTGGCTCTAAATCAAAGGTTCTCAACATTCCTAATGTCACAACCCCTTAATACAAGTACTTCATGTTGTGGGGATCCTCAAACATAAAATTATTTTCATTGCTACTCCCGAACTGTGATTCTGCTACTGTTATGAATCGTAATGTAAATGTATGATATGCAGGATGTATTTTTATTCACTGGACCAAATTCGGCACAAATACCTGATATGCCCAAATTTGAATACTGGTGGGGTTGGGGGGGGGGGTTGATTTGGTCATTTGGAAGTTGTAGTTGCTGAGATTTATAGTTCACCTACAATCAAAGAGCATTCTGAACTCCACCAATAATGGAATTGAACCAATCTTGGCACAAAGGCCAAATGTAAAATTAAAATGGAAAGTATTGTCGAAGGCTTTCATGGCTGGAATCACTAGGTTCTTGTGGGTTTTTTCGGGCTATAGAGCCATGTTCTAGAGGCATTTCTCCTGACGTTTCGCCTGCATCTATGGCAAGCATCCTCAGAGGTTGAGAAGGTCTGTTGACCTTGAGTTTTGGAGTTGTTGTTCACTTACATCCAGAGAGCACTGTGGACTCAAACAATGATGGATCTGGACCAAACTTGGCACTAATGTTCCATAAGCCCAAATATGGACACAGATGGAATTTGGGGGACATTGACATTTGAGAGTTGTAGTTACTGGGATTTATAGTTCACCTACAATCAAATAACATTCTGAACCCCACCAACAACAGAATTGGGGCAAACTTCCCACACAGAACCCCCATACTGAATCCCATATTGCTGGGATTTATAGTTCACCTACAATCAAAGAGCATTCTGAACCCCAGCAATGTTAGAATTAGACCAAACTTCCCCTATGTCTTGAAGGGAATCACTGGCATGAGCCTCCCTCCAGCATTGCACGCTCTCCCTCACCTGCACATGTGCACCATGCCGCCGTGCACCAAGCACACCTGATTTCTCCTACACTCTTGGAGTCTCAGAAACAGCCCTCCCCTTGGCTGATAGCAGAGGAGGGCTTTTGGTGGGAGGATTTGTCGTCTGTTTCCAAAAAGGAAGAGAAGGACAGGTGGAAAGATCTTCAGCCTTCTCTGCCAAAGGGGTTCCTAAGACCATCAGAAATATATGCTTTCTGATGATCTTTGGTGACCCCTCAGAAACCCCCTCATGCCCCCCCCCAGGGATCCTTGTTAGAAAAAATCTATATTCACATTTATTGTGCATACCTAATTATCAGGTGCTTGCCTCTTTTCCTCAAAATGTAAATGCTATGCTTTAAAAGTATTTATGATGTGTTCTCCTATCCATTCCATAATTTTAATTTTTTGGTCTTCTGCTGTTCCTTCCACGTTGCTCCATATAAACCGTTACACAGCAGCCAGCACATAAAGGAAGTGCTCTACCCTCCTGCCTCCTCGATCTATACAAGAGCCACTCACAAGATTCCAGTGAAATAAAGAGCGAACAAGTTGTTGCTGTGTTAGCAAGAAGGATGCTTTTAACAAGCCTGTGAATAACTCAGCAACTGCCCAGGCTCGAAGTGCTGGGTTTTCTGTGTGCTTTGAAATTCTTTCTCCGACATCTACAGTGGGGGCTCTGTGCACTCAGATGCAGAAATAATTACACAGCCCTGCTCTAAAGAAATATTGAGCTGCTGCTACAAACACTCCACTACGAAGACTAAAGACCTGGAAGGTTTGGACAGTTTGTTGGCAATTACAGCCAAGTGCCTGACCTGAGCTCTGGAAGCCAGCTAACGGCACAGAGACTCTTCTGTGGGTATGGCTCTGTGGACCCACAGCTTTGCCAAGCTGCCTTGAGGTGACTTTACTTGGGAGTAAATCCTACTGAACACAGTGGTGCCTAGTTCAGTGTGAACTTCCACTGGGGCAGGCTACACAGCGACCAACTGGAACTCTTTGGCTAAAGAGAATGGGGTTTGATTTAGAGCAAGTGGAAAACTGTGAGCCCCTTAAGAGATCAAGGGCTTGGCAACGGGCTAGAGCATTTGGCAGTCATCCTTGAACGGGATCAATTCAAGTAACTGCAAATCATGTGTGCAAGTAACTGTGTGTGTTTTGCACAAACACACCTTTGGATGTTACAGCAGAGAATCTCAAAAGCATGAAGACAGAGCAAAAGGAAGCATCTAAATAGATCATAGTTTCCACAAAGCTCAAAGGCTCCACCTTTGAATCCACAAAAGGCCCCTTTCAAGCATGTGAGAATATCCTCCCCTCTTTTTCCTCATCTTTTCCTACTTTGTCTTCAATTATTACAATGCCAACTTTTAAAACCAGGGACTGCCAAAAGGACCACATCACTCCTCTGTCGTAAACCAAGTGGTAAGAGAGAAAAATACTTTTATTCTAAACTTTGGAAAGGTGAGTCACCATCTTCCCTGTATGTTTTTGGAGAAGGAAATTCCACTCTCTAGATGAGGTTGACACCGAAGTATGAGCTCTCAGGAATTTATATTTTGAGCTGCCAATCTTAAGAAGGTGACTCTGTACTCTGAAGGCTGCTCCATTCACCAATTGCAACATTCAGACTTGCCTCAAACACACAAGAGTTCTTTCTCCCACCCTGGGCATTCCACAGATATATAAACCCCTCTTGCCTAGCTTCCAACAGACCTCACAACCTCTGAGGATGCCCACCATGAATGTGGGTGAAATGTCAGGAGAGAATGCTTCTGGAACATGGCCATACAGCCTGGAAAGTTTACAACAACGCAGTGATTCTGGCCATGAGCTTTTGACATTAACTCTTTGGAGACATTGCAAAAATACAACTCCAAAGAGTCAGTCTGGAACATGGCCATACAGCCCAGAAAACTCACCCCACTGCTCCAAATATCCTAAATGGCGGGAAACATCTCTGGAAACTGCTTGAGAGGAGTGCACTTTCTGTTGCTATGAAAAGTATAATAATGTGCACACCTAAACATTAGGAAGAACCTCCTAATGGCAAGAGCAGCTCTAGATGGAATATGCCACCTCACCTTGGGAGCATGGAGTCTCTTTCTTGGGAGGTTTTTAAACAGAGGCTGGATGGCCATCTGTCAAGAGTGCTTTGATTGTGCATGGAAGAGAGGTCGACTGGGTGGCCCTGGGGATCTCTTTGAACGTTAGGATTCTATGGAGTAAATATGGAGACATGCAAGTTTGTTTTGATTCCCTAAACACACAGGTCAAGCACTCTGTTGTATCGCAACCTGGTCCCATAGCCAGGACCTGTCTTTAAAAAGTGTAGTGGGAGCTTTTAAACAGAGCTGGATGGCTATCTGTTGGGGGTGCTTTGAATGCAATTTTCCTACTTCTTGGCAAGGGGTTGGGCTGGGTGGCCCACGAGGTCTCTTCCAACTCTAGGATTCTATCAGAGCAAGGGGCGTCTTGCAATCACTCCGGAGCCGACTTGGTGTGTCCCGGGGCTTGCCTTCAGAGCCCAAAGGGGAGCGGAGGGGAGGGGCAGGCCGTGTCCCGGGGTGGGTGAGGGGCGGGGGTGGGGGGGGGGCTCTCCTTACCGCGTCCGGAGGCGAAGTGGAGGCGCAGCGCCTTGCCTTGGCGCACCAGGCTGATGTGCAGGTAGGTGAACCAGACGGCGAAGGTGAGCAGCACCAGGAGGAGCAGCAGCTTGAACTGCTTCCGGATCTTCTTCACCGGGAACCACAGCATCCTCCAGGCTGCATTCCCGGGGGGTCGCCTTGCCCCCGGGGGGTGAGAGACGAGCGGGAGAAGGGGGCAAGGAGGCGGCGGGAGGCAGATCTGGGGGGGGGGGAGGAGGGGGGGCAGCGAAGGAGCGCCTACCCCGGGCCCCTGGGGCTCATGGGGCCCGCTCGCCCGCCCCTCACCTGCCGCAACTTTGGCGCCTCCGCCTGGCGTGCAAACTTCGGAGGCGAGGACGGAGGAAGAAGAGGGGAGACGGGGGAGAGGTAGGGGAGCTCTCCCGCGCCTTGAGGGGGGCCCCTAAGGGCGCTGCTCCCGGAGAAGAAGAGGAGGAGGAGGAGGAGGAGGAGCCCGGCCGCCGCCTCCCGCCACCAGCCCCCGGCGGGAAGGGACAACAAAGGCACCCGGGCAACAGAAGCAGCGGCGGCGGCGGCGGCGCGGAGGCAGCATCGGGGAGACTCCCCGCGGGCCGCGAGCGGAGGCGGTTCGGGCAATCCTCTGCCTCCCCCTTGGCCCCTTCTGCAGCCCCTTTCCCGCCGGAGCCAAGAGAGGAGAGGAGAGGCGAGGCGAGGCAATGAATGGAGGGGCGGAGAGGCTGCTGCTGCTGCTGCTGCTGCGCTTTACATGGCCCCGCTCCTCCTCCTCCACTTCCTCAGCGCTGCCAGGCGGAGGCTGCCAAGCCCCGGCCCCCGCTGCTGCCTCTGCTGCCTCTGCCCGTCCCGATGCTCTGCCCGCAGCAGCACCATCGCCGCCGCCGCCGCCGCCGCCGCTCCGCCTCGCAGCATCTCCTCGCTGCGGCGCAACCCAGCTTGGACGGGGCAGGCCGGAGCGACAGCCCCGCCGGGTCCAATCCGAGCCGCGGATTCCTCCTCCCCTCCAATCCGCGGCTTTGGGGGCGGAGACCGAAGGCAGGCTGGGCTGCGAGCCGCGCTCATCTCCACGCCAACGTACAAACATCCACCTGGGGAGCCGAGCCGGCGCATTCCTCCGCGGAGGGGGCGCGGGAAGGGGCGCGCCCCGGAATCCCACGCGCGGCGGCGCCTCGGAGGGCCTCCCCCTGCATATGGATCCGCCTTGCGGCGCTGTAGGGCAGGGGCCTCCCTTTGGTCTACACACGGAGGCTTCCTCTTGGAGAAGTCGCGTTGCCCTGGTCCTGGACTCCCCTCCCTTCCTTGCAGATGGTACCTTCCCAACAGATGCAAGCGGATCCTCGTCTGCTGGGAAGGCAGCAAAGATGCTCCACGATGGGATGCCACGGAATTGGCCACAGGTTGGGCGCGCGACTCCTGGCGCGCAAATGGCTCGCTCTGGATGTGCCCAAAGAGTGGCTGTGGCTTCACCTTGCCTTGCGAGGCTTCTCAACCCACGGTGGCTCCACTCTCGGGCCAAACTTTCTTGAGATCCTTGGAGAGCAGAGCACGAACTGGGAAACGCTTGAGGAAATGCAACAGGATCTGCTCCTGAATGTGCAAAGTGCTTCCAAATATACAGTAGAGTCTCGCTTATCCAACATCAACGTTGGATAAGCGAAAATGTTGGATAATCAGGAAGGAGTATTTGTTAAACTTCAAATTACGTTATGAGTTTACAAATTAAGCACTGAAACATCATGTTTTACAACAAATCGACAGAAAAAGCACTTCAGTACACTGTAACGTTATGTAGTAATTACTATATTTACAAATTTAACACTAAAACATCACAATGTATTGAAAAAGTTGTGGATCCAGGACATACAATTAGACCAGAAGACTGGGAAAGAATTTGCAACAAGAAAATAAAATATACATATGCATTTGATTGGAAAGAAAATTGGCTGAAAATGATGTATAGGTGGTACATCACCACCACCCCCCAAATTAAGAAAATGTTTTCCAAAAGTAAATGACAGATGATGGAAATGTGAAGAACTAACTGGCTCTTTCTTCCACATGTGGTGGACTTGTAAAGTGGCCAAATCTTATTGGAAAAATAGAGAAGACATTAGAACTAAAATAGAACTGAAACCAGAATATTTTCTGTTGGGTATAATAGATATAGAAAAAAATAAGGACAAACTCTTTAATTATTTAGTAACAGCGGCTAGAATAAACTATGCAAGATGTTGGAGAACAAAGGAGATCCCTACTCAGGATCATTGGCTAATGAAGATTATAGGTATTATGAATATGGACAGACTAACACAATTGATGAGTGCTGATTCAAAAAGGAAGACACAAAAAACAGATTGGATGTTGCTAAAGAACTAAAGGAAAACTCAAGAAAATTTGAAATGGATGATCAATACAAGATGAAAAATGGAGTAAAAAGCTCTTAAGGAAAAAGATGCAAGAGAGGCAGCTGATCATGAATTGAGGACTCAGAAGACATGCACTACTTATGTGGAGACGATTGGAAGCCGAATTCTTGACCCCCTTTCCTAAACCCCTTTTTTCCTATCCAAACCTACCCCCGCAACCCTATCCCTAATTCCTTCCCCAAAGTTCCTGGTTTTATCTTCCCACCTTCTCTTTTTTTTACACATTTCTGTAAGAAAAAAACCCTAATAAAATTATTATTATTATTTTAAAAAAGCAAAAGCTGTGGATCCAGGTGGGAGGCCAAGGGAACCCAGCAAGACTGCATTTCATAGAATCCTAGAGTTGGAAGAGACCTTGTGGGCCAACAGAATGGTGTTCACAGGCCAAGGGAACCCAGCAAGACTGCATTTCATAGAATCCTAGAGTTGGAAGAGACCTTGTGGGCCAACCAGTCCAACCGCCTGCCAAGAAGCAGGAAGATTGCAATCAAAGCACCCCCAACAGATGGCCATCCAGCCTGTATTTAAATGCCTCCAAAAAAGGCTGCGCCACACTCCTGGGCAGAGAGTTCCACTGCTGAACAGCTCTCACAGTGAGGAAGTTCTTTCTAATGTTCAGGTGGAATCTCCTTTTCTGTAGTTTGAAGCCATTGTTCTGTGTCCTAGTCTTCAGGGCAGCAAAACATATCATATGGAAAGAAGTATAAGACTTGGGAGGAGAGAACATGTGAAAACTCAGGGGAGGAACACCAGCAATTTGAGATATGTAGATGATCCCTTGCACTGTATAATGTCATATTGCCAGCAGGAAAGTGCAAATACCTGGGAATAAGTATTGCAGAAAGTTAAGGAACAAAGTACACAGATAGGTTAGAGCTGAAGATTAGCAAAACAAAAATCGTGACCACAGATGATTTGCATAACTTTAAAGTGAATGGTAACGACATTAAGATAATATGCCTTGGTTCAGTCATAACTCAAAACGTCTCAGTTTGATTCAAGAGATGGGACAAGGACTAGAAAAGGCAGTCATGAAGGAACGAAAGGTGCTGCAAACAAATGAAGACTGAACTCTCCACATAAGCCAAAATAACTAAATGGATACAGTCATACTTCAGGCATACCACAAGATGACAGGATTAATTAAAAATATAATAATGCTTGGCGAAATTGAAAGCAGTAGGAAAACAGGAGTAGATCTCAATCAAGGAGGTCACAACACTAAGCTTGCAAGAGCTCAGTGTTATAACAGGGCAGTATAAAATTGCCATAAATGAAAGGCAGTTTGGGTTGCTGTATGGCCATGTTTCAGAAGCATTCTCTCCTGATGTTATCCAGTTTGATAACCATACACAACAAGAACAGATCAGTCATCTTTTCCTGATCTGATGCCTTCAAGATGTTTTGGATCACAACTGCCAGCATTCTTGAACACCATCCATCCTGCCAGTGACCGATGGAATCTGAATTCCAAAACATCTGGAAGGCATCAAGCTGGAGAAGGCCAATCTGTATACTCTCTCAGGAGTTAAGTATGGTGGTTCACTGCTCAAGAGACAGTCCTAAATTATCTAATTAGACTGTTCATTACCTCTTCCTCTCAAATGCCAGACAACCAGGATACTACAACAGAAATCTCAGTAAAAGTGGCACTTGAAGTCATGCAGGTCATTTTTGTGGTTTTGTAAAGGTCATTTTTGTGGTTTTGAAATCCAAGTGGATACTTAGCGGAACGACCATTCAGTAGCACCTCAGTTAGGCAATAGATGCAATCCAGAGGTAGTAAAGTATGAAATATTTTGTGTCTCCCCTTGAATGTGAGAGCTGTGGAGCCCTGGCTATATACATAGTTAGTAGTGAAATTAGTCCAAATATGTTCATGCTGTCCTAAGGCTGAGACATCATTAAACTTCAGTGCTTATTAGACATTGTCTGAGCAAATGCTTTACCCATAAACAGACAATCCTTTTCAAAAACCTGTATCTCTTGCAAGAGTGCAGTATTTTAACTCTGCGTGAGCCAACAAGGAGGAGGGCATTGTCTGATGCATAAGGATTTAGTTGCTTCAAAGAATGGATGGAAATTATGCAGCCTTCAGTGTGTTGATGGACTGCAGCTCTCACCAGCTGTGCCCGGCTTACTTAATGATGGGAAATGCTGTGGGATGTAGTCTAACAGCACAAGCAGGGCTGCTCTTTGTCAGAACCCTGACTTAGTATGTCATATACCATCAGAGGGTCTCATTTGGAGAATGTAGATCTCATTGATTTTTGTGTCTTCAGAGGTCTTTTTCTTCTACTCATTAAACGATGGTTTAGCTATTTCTCTGCTTATATTCTTTTATCTATAGTTTATTGATCTGTAAGAAAAAATATGCTCTCTTTGTGTGACATGCTTCTGTATTGAAGATCTAGGAATGATTTTTGTTCCTTCACACTTAAAATCTTCCACTTCTCTGTCGAGTAACTGAAATACCATCTACACTACAGAATCAAAGCAGTTGGACAAAATCACCATCACCCCATCCTATAGAATTCTGGGACGTGCAATTTGTTGTGGCACCAGGGCTCTCTGACAGAAAAGGGTCAATAGATGGCAGAACTACAAATCCCAGAATTCCATAGTATTGTATTCAATATGGTGTCCTGGGCACACAGAAGAGTGGACGACCTGGAAGGCGCTGAACAAACTGTGCTCTGGTACCACAAGGTACACAGCTAACCTCTAGAAATGGGGCTACAAAGTGGAGTCCATGACATGTGAGTGTGGAGAAGAGCAAACCACAGACTACCCACTACAATGCAACCTGATCCCTGCCACATGCACAATGGACCTTCTCAGAGCAATGACAGAAGCACTACAAGTGACCAGCTTCTGGTCAAAGGATATTTCGCATAATGCCAAGTTCTTTTTCTAAACATTATTTGTATTTTTAAATACATTTAACTGTACCCTCCATTTGCTTCTGACACAATAAATAAATATGGTGTCAAGTTGCTATGATTCTGCAATATAGATACAACCTAAATCAGTCTCCTTATTTTTGACTACATAAAATATCTTCCCTCACCCTCTTACTTAAATCTGAAATCTTACAGCTATTGATCAGGTAGGAAGTTCAATTTATCTCAATGGGATCTGGCTGGCCAAATTTTGCAGTGATATCGGGATTTATGTTAGCATAAGTTACTTTATTCATTGTATTGTCAAAGGCTTTCATGGCCAAAATTACTGGGTTGTTGTATGTTTTCTAGGCTGTATGACCATGTTCCAGAAGCATTCTCTCCTGGCGTTTCACTTGCATCTATGGCAGGCATCCTCAGAGGTTGTGAGGTCTCACAACCTCTGAGGATGCCTGCCATAGACGCATGCGAAATGTCAGGAGAGAATGCTTTTGGAACATGGCCATACAGCCTGGAAAACACACAACAACCCAACTTTATTCAAATTCCAACTGAATCACCAGAGCCCTGCCCAACTGAAATCCATTTGGATACATCATTAAATGCTGGATAGAAGGAGAACTGCTCTAAGTCTTAACTGATGCACAATAATACTAGGTGGCATTTTCTTCCTGGTTGTCTTTTGTTTGTTACATTTGGGGAAAGTGTAAAAATTTGTCAAATCCTTCTTACGTGATTTTTCTCAAGCAAAAGGGACTTTGTTGACATTGTTTCTTGCTGCAATAATTCAGGAGGTCTACTGAAATTTGACACTTGTCTTTCAGTCTGGAACAAAAAACCCATGGGAAAGCTATGTGTAAATCAGCCAGCCATGGGGTTTAGAAAGACTCCTCACCTCTTTATGACACCATAATAAGCCAATGTGAAGACGAAGAAGAAAGCAGTCTATGTTAACAATAGCACTGTGTTCCAGATATAGCACACTGTCTGTTTTATCTGGGCTTTTCATCTGACTGAGTCATGACTGATAGGTTATTTTAAAGAAAGTTCTAAAGTGCCGTTTAGCTTATTCAAGATTACATTGTATGCACACTCGGAGTAAGGCACCCTTTCCCTTCACTCTGTGATGGAATTATCTCTGTTATATTCAGGCAAGGTTCCTATCAGAACTTGGTATGAAAAGTCTCTCTCTTCCCAACCAACCATCATCTCTATCTCACAAAAAGGATGATGTAGGATTCTACTAAGTCATCTATTACTGGTTAGCTGTCAGTGATTGTGTCTTAATCTTTGATATAGGGGTACTGAAGACTGCAGAACTGGATTTTAGTTACATTTTTAAAAAGTGGGGAGTGTAACACTGTTGCTCTCTGCTATCCCAGAGAATAGGATATGAAGCCATGGTTTCAAAGTACAAGAAAAGAGATTCTTGATAAGAATTATTCAACAGTAGAATATGCTGCCTCAGGACATTGTGGAGTTTCCTTCTCTGGAGGTTCTTAAACAGAGACTGGATGGCTACCTGTCAGGAGTGTTTTGATTGTGTATTTCTTCGTGGCATTGGGTTGATCTGGACGGCCCTTGTGGTCTCTTCCAACTCTATTATTCTAAGGAATGGTCTTGTAGCCCCTTAAAGATTTGCATGTTTATGGGACATAAGCTTTCATGGAGTCCAGTGCATGGCATCAAATGAAATGGACTGGTGTATCCATAAGAGCTTGTGCCAAATAAAAATGGTTAATCTTTAATGTACCACAAGACTATCCCATTTTTTTAGGTAGCACTTGGGGAAACTCACCATAATTGTAACTTGGGTATCTATTGGCTTGTGAAGATGTTGGGTGAGGTGTGAATACTTTATGGATCCAATTTTATTTAGCTTAATGACACTGACATTGTTCTCTATTCTAAGCACTCAAGTGTTGGCTGAGTTGTACAATTAATCTTAAAGCTCTTGGACTAAGCGAGGCACAATGCTTGATGATTCTAACCTGTGTGAGAATCATATGAACCTCAGATATTGTTGGACTGCATATCCTATCAGTGCTTACCCAGTAGGGAGGGAAGTTAGGACTTTCTATTTTTGACCTGTAATCTACTTTTGAAAAGTATTTCACAAAAATGCTAATTGTGTGAGTAACTCATTTAGTTCAGCTCCAATCCTGGTTCCACTTCATATGCCTGATGTTAGTAAATTATGACGTATCTGTTTTATATGGTTCCAGTTTTGATGCAGAGTGAGATAGCATTTATTGATTCCTTTAATGGTCAGAGATGCGAGAGACTGAGTGCATTGTCCCCAAAGAGAAGGGGAATACACATACACACAAACACACACACACAAAATGAAAGACATTTTTCCACAATGGCAGCTGGAAGTCTGGATGTAGGAGATTTATTTGGTCAATAGAGTAAAGCTCCTATTGACAACAACCTGCCATGTCTTCTGGGAAAAGTACAAACCTTCCAAAGCTAAGTATTACAGTGCAGGGTGTGGAAGTTATAATGCTACAGCTCTGGGGCTCCATCCTTAGATGAACATAAGAGAACAAGAGCTGGAAATCTCATCTGAGGATTGTTGAGAATTTCCCAATTCTTCTCAACAGAATAAGAGAACATTGCCAGGAAGCAGTAAAGCTCTGTCCCAATTGCATCTTAGGGATGGCTATATAATTATTGTGCAGTTCTGGAACCAATCTAGATTTCTCATCTTTTCTTATGGGTTCCACTCCAGGAGAAAGATAGCACACCAAATAAATACATATAGTTTATTCAGCTGTAAAGATGTGATGAATACACTACGCTTTCTTCTGCTAGGGCTACATATTCAAAGTAGGATATAACACCTTTGGAAAGAAGGAATGTTTCCCTTACTAAGCTGTTATGGCGTTTTGTAACCAACTTACACATTTCTACAGTTATGCCTCAAAGGAAACATAATGTTCCTGTTCTGTTTTTCTTTATCTGTTGATCTTTGATAACTTCCATATTTGTCTTAAAATTAGCAATGTAGGTGTGAGAAGTGCCAGCCTCTGACTCCTGCAGGCTAGACGGAAAGCTGCAACAGTGACTTTCACAGTTACCCCTTCTTCGTGATATCTCCCACTGGAACTGAGATCGGGGGTGTATTTGTGTGTTTTCTTCTTTATGCTGGATTTAACTAAAAAACAACAACAAAACAAAAAACTTCTAGTTCAGCTTTTTCTGCACAGAATGCTCACTACAGTTGCTTAAGGAAGCATTGCTACCCCCATCAGACAAGTACCATTGTGATGGTGGTGGTGTGCTTTCAAGTAGTTTGTGAAATATGAAGACCCTTATGAAAGGGTTTTCTTGGGAAGATTAGTTCAGAGCAAGTTTGCCATTTGCTTCCTCTGAGGATGAGATAATGTGACTTGCCCAAGGCTGACCCAGTGGGTTTCCATGACTAGGCGAGAATTCAAATCCAGGCTACTACATTAGATTCCCAGAGAACAGTATACAAGCCTTTTATTGTTAACAGTGTCACAAGGACATTAAATACCATGCCATCAAAATGTGTCAAAGAGAAAAACTGCTTCACTGATTTCTTCACATCATACTTATTAGGATTTTTTCCTGACATCAAAAATACTTTGTGTTTACAATTTGGTTTGTGACATCATATTGGCAAGTTGAAAACAGAAAATGAACAAGGTCATATCAAAGACTCTTGGTTTTGGTTTCCAAGAGTTTGACTAACACATTCCTTTAGCTGAACTGTTAAGAAAATGGTAACATTTTCAACCACTATCCCTATTGCATTAATAGAAGAATTAAACCTTTTACATCCCCTCAAAAGCCACATCTGGAGTTAATTACAGGCAGCCTGCAGAGAGAACTGTGTTTTGTAGTTCCCCTTTCATTCAAGTCGGTGGGAGGGACATTTTTAATATATCTGGGAGATGGTTCATGTGAAGTTATGACACTGATGTAGATGTGTGAGTAATATAATAGGGTATGTAACAGGGGTGCTTCTCCACACCCTTTCCCCACTTATAACTTCACATTACCTTTAGGTCTTCCACGAATACATAAAGCCACAGCAGTGACATATATAGCACATAGCTAGTTTATGTAGGTGTTCAATGAATCTTATACGCCTCACAATCAGTGCAAGACCATGACATGAATGCTGCTTGTAGACCCATTGCATTAATGGGATTCATCTATGTGTTGGCTCACCGTTCAGCAATTGATTCGATGAATCCACTTTAGTTGCAACTATAGTTGGCCATCAGTATCCAAGGGTTCTGCATCCATGGATTCAACCAACCACCATCTGAAAATATTCAAAGAAAAATGCCAAAAGCAAAGCTTGATTTTGCCATGTACTACTTACTTACTATACAGGTGTGCAGACATATCCAGCTATATTCTCCTACCATTTCACAGATCCTCGGACTCCTTCCATCATTTGTTTGAGCTACTCAATGTTATATATAATGAGAATTTGGAATCCACGAGGGCTTCTGGAACCAAACTCCTGTGGCTTAGGAGAGCCCACTTTATTTTTAAGACTAGGTCTACGTGTATATTTAATTAACTTGATTTTCAAAAGTTGATGCTCTCCTCTCCTGAAAACTAAAAATGAAGAACAACATTTTAATCAAAAATTACTTTTACTTAAACTGTTTTTTACTTTTAATTAAAAAAACTAAATATAACACCTAAAAATCAAATTCTGTAACTCTTTGGTGACAAATACAGTCAACAGATAAGAGTTGCACAAGAAAAAACATTAACTGAAAATAACTTTGGGTCACATATTGTCATGTACAGCATTCAAAAGTCACACTGGTTGTTAATATGGTGCAATGGGTTAAATCCTTGTGTTGGCAGGACTGAAGATCGACAGGTCAGAGGTTTGAATCCGTGGAGAGCATGGATGAGCTCCCTTTGTCAGCTCCAGCTCCCCATGCACTACATGAGAGAAGCCTCCCACAAGGATGGTAAAACATCAAAACATCTGGGCATCCCCTCCCCTGGGCAATGTCTTTGCAGATGGTCAATTCCATCACACTAGACATGAAAATAAAAAGACCAGTGAAAACACTGCAAACTATCCTGATAAAGGTAAAGGCTGTGGCTATATAGTATGTTTTTTTTATTTTCTTGTTGATAATTGTTTATTCTATTTAAAACAACACAAACTATATTTTTTGTGAAGGGAGTGATTTGAGAAGCAAAGGGGGTTTTTTTTGGCATTTTTGTATTATGTGTGAATATTTCATCAGCAGATGTATGACTGAAAATAACTGTTGTAGATAAAATATGCAAGGTTGGAAAGGTTGCTGTTTTGGAGCTGAGCCCATAAAATTCATGCTGATTCTGGGAGCTGGAGCCGCAGAAATTAATATTTCCCTATCTCTGATTTTTAAAAGCCAACCACTTGGTGAAAGTTGCGTTGAGGACTGGTGACAACAGTTCTCTTTAGCTTTCATTGCTGTCTGAACACAACCTGTGCTTCCAATCAGGCTTGTAGCATCCCCGGCAGAAAACAGATTGTCCTTCTCTCTCTCTAAGTACTGTCAGCTCCCCAGCCGACACTTGCTGAGATTTCATTTAACCAAGTGAAAACTGGTCCCCCTGATCAGATGAAATGACTCTCAATTGGCACTCATCTGCTTCTAGAAATCAATGCCCTGGATAGATGCTGAGAACTATTGCTGCCTCCTTTTTTCCCTGTTGCTTTTCTTTTCTGTTGACATTTTAAGCTGCTTAATTGATCGAACAGCCATTTCTCCAGAGTCTGTTCCATATATAAACTGCCTGGCCTTGAGGCCAGCTCCCTCTCTCTTTCTGTCTCTCTGTAAGCCTTGCAGTGGAGAACAACAAAAGGGATGCAGGTTTCTGTGACCTTTCTATAAATCTTGAACAATTGTATTGTATGTAATTTGAACATGTGAATTGTACGTAATCTAGGAAAGCACTGTGGCCTGTTTCTTGTTTTTACAAAAAGATAGCTAAGTCTAACCTTTTTGTTTCCAAAGCAAGATAAATTTATTTCCCAATCATTTTGTGGCCGATAGTCTCCAAAGTCGACATGCCACAATGCAGGAGTGAAAACCAGACAGTTCTCTGGACTCCTGTTTCTTAAACTGTAGGTCCCCAAATGGGAACCCATTAGCTCAATGTTGGGGTTGCAAAGATTTGACAATAGTAAACCTGTTAGCAACAATGTGTAGTGTTTAAAGTGGACTTTGCGGAAAATGCTTCACCTGTACTTCATAAATAGGGGAAGTCCCCTTGTTTAGCAAGCCTCATAAATGCATATTTATTATCAGTAAATATTTGATTTTATACCTATGTTATGTACCTGTATACCTGGGATCACAGAAAGCCACACTCCTTTTGTTGTTCTATTTGAGCAAAAAGGGCTAATGAGTAGAAAATGTTTAAGAAGCCCTGCTGTAGATGTTGAACTGCAACTCTCAGCTTTCTGGCTTGTGATGGCTATGGCTGGAGGATTATTCCAGTTCTCTGGGCAGTAAAAGGCTCTGCAGCTACAAGGTTCATCTAGGTTCAGGAAAGTGAAGCCTAGTCCCCAAATGTTTTTTTTAAATACATTTGGCCCTCTATATTTGCAGATTTGATTATTTATTTGATTAATACAGTCCTTCTAGGAGTCTCTACAGGCTCATCTACAGGTAATTTGGCCCAGTGTAAATATGTCCTGTAACATCTCAAGATCTGACACATTCATGTCAAATCTGTGGGCTGCTTTACACATGGTCACATGGCTGGGGAGCACTGATGAGTCCAGGGAAATGGTGATAGTGCCAGTAGCCCTTGTGGACAGCAGATTAGGCTGAATCAGAATCTATCTGTCCAGACTTTCGAGCAAACTCTGGAGTATTCACGAACTTTGCCCAAAATGGGCCAAACCCAGTTTAAACCAAAACAACTCAGGATATTCATTGGAAGTCATTGTGCATTAGAAGTTTTGTAGATAAGTCCTAGGTCCTCCAGAGGAAAGATTCCAAGAGAGGTGTTCTCTCCTAGGTAATAGTGTGTTTTTAATTTGTGGTTTCACATTCATAGGGATTCTGTGCCCTAACCCTAATGGAAATGGAGTGCTGACTGTACAGTGTTCCCTCACTACTTCGCAGTTCGCTTTTCATGGACTCACTGTTTTGCAGGTTTTTGCCTCCTGGCAATGATGGAGTATAGAAGGGGGTTTCACCCTCCCTCTCGGGAGAGAGGCAGCCAATCATAAAAAAGGAAAAAGGGGAGATACAAAGCAGTATGTAAATTATGACCTTATAGCCCCTTCCCTATAGCTAGCAAAAAAAAGTGTGCAGTGCCTTTAAATCTCTCCTTGCTTCTGCCTCACCCTCGGAATGTGATGTATATATATAACGTCCCTACTTCGCGGATTTTCACTTTTCGCAGGTGGTCCTGGAACGTAATACCCGCGATAAGTGAGGGAACACTGTATTTGCATTTATGAATCTAGATTGAACATGCAGCATACAAGTTAAATTCTCCAAAATCCATGTGGAGGGCATGTGGTGGGGGTGAGGAGTGAGACTGATGGCACCCTAAGATCCTTTTACCAAATCCATTATCTCTTTCTCAGCTACTCAGCTTCTGTTTTATCAGGGGAGGGTCAATTTTGTTGTTTTATACTGTTTTTTATTGATGACATTGAATTGCTGCCAACACTGTGAACTGCCCTGAGTCTCCTCAGGGTTGAGAAGGGTGGTATACAAATACTACAAATAAATAAATAAATAAATGGCCACAAATATTCTTTGCTGTGAGAAAAGGAGAAAGTCTTAGTTCTTTTGTGGTAGGCTTTTTCTCTTTAGTACATTCCCAGCAGCTAGGCCTCAGATATTCAGGAAGATAGCTTCCCATTAGGTCCAAAGACATATAGCATCTGAATTTGCTTAGCAAAGGAGTAAGCCAATTTAAATCTCTCCAGCTGTTCAGACAAGTTCAGCCATTCAAAACCCTAACCTAAAAGTTATGGAATCCCAGAGAAGGCCGATTCTTGATCACATTCTTGTACTCATAAATCGTTTCTGAAAAGCAAGATGGCAGCACCTTTGTAGCTGTGGAATGTATGTGAAGAATGAGAAGAATATAGTACCAACCTGGGTCCCTAATATGGGCAGCCTCACACTGAGGAAAGGGGTTTAAGTTACAATGGAGAAAAGTCACCAAGAGGTTTATTTAGACATAAAGAGCTCCTGAGACATGAGACCTAACATCAGTGGTTACTGTTGGGAATTAGTTTCCCAGGATGTTAGCCCTTTCTGGGGACACCCTAGAGGCGCAATGGGTTAAACTCTTGTGTTGTCAGGACTGCTGACCGAAACGTTATTTATTTACTGTATTTGTATACCGCCTTTCTCAGCCAATCGGCAGTTCAAATCTGGGGGGTGAGGTGAGCTCCCGTCTGTCAGCTCCAGCTTTCCATGTGGGGACATGAGAGAAGCCTCCCACAGGATGGTAAAACATCCAGGCATCCCCTGGGCAATGCCCTTGCAGACAGCCAATTCTCTCACACCAGAAGTGACTTGCAGTTTCTCAAGTCATTCTTGACAAGAAAAAAATCCCTTTTTGGAAAATTCCGCGAAAGCCAACAGTTTTAGCATCACTAGGTTTGGTGTCACCTGGTGTGGTAACTCATAGTGTCACCGCCATGGGCCTCCTCCCATACTCGTCCATACACAATATTATAGCTGAAATACTAGAGAAATTGACAAATCAATGACTATAAAGAACCAGCAGCAACCAAAACAACAGCCCATGTTGAAGCACATGCAGACAAAACTATGTGATAAAATAATTGGGTAATAATGATCCTTCCAAACAAAACACACATGCACTAGAACAGGGGTTCTCTAACTATTGCTCGGGGGCCGGATACAGCTCTCCAAGGTCATTTACCCGGCCCTCGCTCAGAGTCAACCTAAGTCTGAAATGACTTGAAAGAACACCACAACAACAACAACAACAACCCTATCTCATTAGCCAAAAGCAGGCCCACACTTCCCATTGAAATACTAATACATTTATATTTGTTAAAATTGTTCTTCATTTTACTTATTGTATTGTTTTTAAGTATTTTTAAACTACAAATAAGATATGCACAGTGTGCATAGGAATTCATTCATGATTTTTTCAAATTATAATCCGGCCCTCCAACAGTTTGAGGGACTGTGACCTGGCCCTCAGTTTAAAAAGTTTGAGGACCCCTGCACTAAAAGATTCAAAAAGCAAATTAGCATGGAAAAATAGCTTTGTAGGGATAACTGATATGAAA